GGGGGGTGAGTCATGCACGGGGGGGGTGAGTCATGCATGGGGGGTGAGTCATGCATGGGGGGGTGAGTTCATGCATGGGGGATGAGTCATGCATGGGGGATGAGTCATGCACGGGGAGTGAGTCATGCATGGGGGGTGGAGTCATGCATGGGGGGGTGAGTCATGCACGGGGGGGTGAGTCATGCACGGGGGGTGAGTCATGCATGGGGGGTGAGTCATGCATGGGGGGTGAGTCATGCACGGGGGGTGAGTCATGCATGGGGGGTGAGTCATGCATGGGGGTGAGTCATGCAGGGGGGGTGAGTCATGCATGGGGGGTGAGTCATGCATGGGGGGTGAGTCATGCACGGGGGATGAGTAATGCATGGGGGGTGAGTCATGCACGGGGGGTGAGTCATGCACGGGGGGTGAGTCATGCACGGGGGGTGAGTCATGTACGGGGGGTGAGTCATGCACGGGGGGTGAGTCATGCACGGGGGGTGAGTCATGCACGGGGGGTGAGTCATGCATGGGGGGTGAGTTATGCACGGGGGGTGAGTCATGCACGGGGGGTGAGTCATGCACGGGGGGTGAGTCATGCATGTGGGGGGTGAGTCATGCACGGGGGGTGAGTCATGCATGGGGGGTGAGTCATGCATGGGGGGTGAGTCATGCATGGGGGGTGAGTCATGCATGGGGGGTGAGTCATGCATGGGGGGTGAGTCATGCATGGGGGGTGAGTCATGCATGGGGGGTGAGTCATGCATGGGGGTGAGTCATGCACGGGGGGTGAGTCATGCATGGGGGGTGAGTCATGCATGGGGATGAGTCATGCATGGGGGTGAGTCATGTACGGGGGGTGAGTCATGCATGGGGATGAGTCATGCATGGGGGGTGAGTCTTGATGGGGGGTGAGTCATGCACGGGGGGTGAGTCATGCATGGGGGGTGAGTCATGCACGGGGGGTGAGTCATGCATGGGGGTGAGTCATGCACGGGGGGTGAGTCATGCACGGGGGGTGAGTCATGCACGGGGGGGAGTCATGCATGGGGGGTGAGTCATGCACGGGGGGTGAGTCATGCACGGGGGGTGAGTCATGCATGGGGGGGTGAGTCATGCACGGGGGTGTGAGTCATGCACGGGGGTGAGTCATGCACGGGGGGTGAGTCATGCATGGGGGGTGAGTCATGCACGGGGGGTGAGTCATGCACGGGGGGTGAGTCATGCACGGGGGTGAGTCATGCATGGGGGGTGAGTCATGCATGGGGGGTGAGTGAGTCATGCATGGGGGGTGAGTCATGCATGGGGGGTGAGTCATGCATGGGGGTGAGTCATGCACGGGGGGTGAGTCATGCATGGGGGTGAGTCATGCATGGGGATGAGTCATGCATGGGGGGTGAGTCATGCATGGGGGTGGGGGTGAGTCATGCATGGGGGTGTGAGTCATGCATGGGGGTGTGAGTCATGCACGGGGGGTGAGTCATGCATGGGGGGGTGAGTCATGCATGGGGGGTGAGTCATGCATGGGGGGTGAGTCATGCATGGGGGGTGAGTCATGCATGGGTGTGATATGGGGGGGTGAAGTCATGCATGGGGATGAGTCATGCATGGGGGTGGAGTCATGTACGGGGGGGAGTCATGGGGGTGAGTCATGCATGGGGGGTGAGTCATGCATGGGGGGTGAGTCATGCATGGGGGGTGAGTCATGCATGGGGAGTGAGTTGTGCATGGGGGGTGAGTCATGCACGGGGGGTGAGTCATGCATGGGGGGTGAGTCATGCATGGGGGGTGAGTCATGCATGGGGGGTGAGTCATGCATGGGGGGTGAGTCATGCATGGGGGGTGAGTCATGCATGGGGGGTGAGTCATGCATGGGGGGTGAGTCATGCACGGGGGGTGAGTCATGCATGGGGGGTGAGTCATGCATGGGGGGTGAGTCATGCATGGGGGGTGAGTCATGCATGGGGGTTGAGTCATGCATGGGGGGTGAGTCATGCATGGGGATGAGTCATGCATGGGGGTGAGTCATGCATGGGGATGAGTCATGCATGCGGGGGTGAGTCATGTACGGGGGGTGAGTCATGGGGTTGAGTCATGCATGGGGGGTGAGTCATGCATGGGGGGTGAGTCATGCATGGGGGGTGAGTCATGCACGGGGGGTGAGTCATGCATGGGGGGTGAGTCATGCATGGGGGGTGAGTCATGCATGGGGGGTGAGTCATGCATGGGGGGTGAGTCATGCATGGGGGTGAGTCATGCATGGGGATGAGTCATGCATGGGGGGTGAGTCATGCATGGGGATGAGTCATGCATGGGGGGTGAGTCATGTACGGGGGGGTGAGTCATGGGGGTGAGTCATGCCATGGGGGGTCGTGAGTCATGCATGGGGGGTGAGTCATGCATGGGGGGGTGAGTCATGCATGGGAGTGAGTCATGCATGGGGGGTGAGTCATGCACGGGGGGTTAGTCATGCATGGGGGGTGAGTCATGCATGGGGGGTGAGTCATGCATGGGGGGTGAGTCATGCATGGGGGGTGAGTCATGCATGTTGTAATTGTACACTATATACAACATTCATAGGCTAGAATAGGTGTAGTCCTTTAGGTTCTTGGGGGGTTGGGTGTACACTCCAACCACACTTTGTGGTTGGTCAAGATTGGATTTGGTCTTGGCCCTTGGTTGGCACTTGCCAACTTTTGGTCCTTAGACCAACCAATCCCAACCTAGCCACATTGTGAGGTTGCCTACTCCACAAGGCACCTCACCCATCGGCCAACTTATTGGCCAATAGGGTTAGCTCCTCCTACAACCTTCTCTTCCTTGCATGCTTGTATTATAGAGCCTTGTTGGCTCATTACTAATCATACTCTTGAATTCTATCAATGCATGGGGGGTGAGTCATGCATGGGGGATGAGTCATGCATGGGGGATGAGTCAATCAGGAAACACTCACCATACGTGCCGTGCTTGCGGTCCACTCTCTGCCTGCAGGCCTGCAGCGCGTGCAGAATGGGCGCCAGATACAGCAGCGTCTTGCCCGACCCCGTGTCCGCTCGAATGAGCCTGCAGTGTGGGAGGAAAGGAGATGATGGGAGAGGAGGGGAGAGGAGGTGCAGATGAGTTGGGAGGATCAGAAAAGGTTTGCGTCTTCGCAGACATCCTGACACTTCAAGGTCGTATAGAACAGAACAGCACAGCAGCAGCGCACCGCACCTGGCATGTGATGTCTGGAACGACGTGCACGCCCCCTGGTTGCAACTTTCAAGACGTCTCATCTCAACTCTCACCCGATTCTCGGCCGTGAGTGAGTGAACAGCACAGCGGCGCACCTGGCATGTGATGTCTGGGACCACTTGCACGTGGCCTGGTTGTAGGTCCATAAGGGAGTATGTGCGCGAAAAGAGCAACTCGATTCTGCTCCCACCATGTGCGCCCACACGAGTGCACACACGTTCATACATGCACATGTGACCACACAGCACCACACGGCAGACAGGAATGTGGTCACATGCAACGTGATGTGCACATGAATGCACAGAATCAGCATGCACATGAATGTAAGCACACACGCACGCACACACACAGCGAGGAGGAAGAGGGAGAGGAGGGAGAATGAGACAGAGCTAGGGAGGCGCCTTATGGATGTGCGTCAGCTAAGCGGCTGCCAAGGCCTGTGTGCAAAGTATGTTAGAGGGCAGACGTGAGTCAGCTAAGCGGCTGCCAAGGCCTGTGTGCAAAGTATGTTAGAGGGCAGACGTGAGTCAGCTAAGCGGCTGCCAAGGCCTGTGTGCAAAGTATGTTAGAGGGCAGACGTGAGTCAGCTAAGCGGCTGCCAAGGCCTGTGTGCAAAGTATGTTAGAGGGCAGACGTGAGTCAGCTAAGCGGCTGCCAAGGCCTGTGTGCAAAGTATGTTAGAGGGCAGACGTGAGTCAGCTAAGCGGCTGCCAAGGCCTGTGTGCAAAGTATGTTAGAGGGCAGACGTGAGTCAGCTAAGCGGCTGCCAAGGCCTGTGTGCAAAGTATGTTAGAGGGCAGACGTGAGTCAGCTAAGCGGCTGCCAAGGCCTGTGTGCAAAGTATGTTAGAGGGCAGACGTGAGTCAGCTAAGCGGCTGCCAAGGCCTGTGTGCAAAGTATGTTAGAGGGCAGACGTGAGTCAGCTAAGCGGCTGCCAAGGCCTGTGTGCAAAGTATGTTAGAGGGCAGACGTGAGTCAGCTAAGCGGCTGCCAAGGCCTGTGTGCAAAGTATGTTAGAGGGCAGACGTGAGTCAGCTAAGCGGCTGCCAAGGCCTGTGTGCAAAGTATGTTAGAGGGCAGACGTGAGTCAGCTAAGCGGCTGCCAAGGCCTGTGTGCAAAGTATGTTAGAGGGCAGACGTGAGTCAGCTAAGCGGCTGCCAAGGCCTGTGTGCAAAGTATGTTAGAGGGCAGACGTGAGTCAGCTAAGCGGCTGCCAAGGCCTGTGTGCAAAGTATGTTAGAGGGCAGACGTGAGTCAGTTAAGCGGCTGCCAAGGCCTGTGTGCAAAGTATGTTAGAGGGCAGACGTGAGTCAGCTAAGCGGCTGCCAAGGCCTGTGTGCAAAGTATGTTAGAGGGCAGACGTGAGTCAGCTAAGCGGCTGCCAAGGCCTGTGTGCAAAGTATGTTAGAGGGCAGACGTGAGTCAGCTAAGCGGCTGCCAAGGCCTGTGTGCAAAGTATGTTAGAGGGCAGACGTGAGTCAGCTAAGCGGCTGCCAAGGCCTGTGTGCAAAGTATGTTAGAGGGCAGACGTGAGTCAGCTAAGCGGCTGCCAAGGCCTGTGTGCAAAGTATGTTAGAGGGCAGACGTGAGTCAGCTAAGCGGCTGCCAAGGCCTGTGTGCAAAGTATGTTAGAGGGCAGACGTGAGTCAGCTAAGCGGCTGGTGTGCAAAGTATGTTAGAGGGCAGACGTGAGTCAGCTAAGCGGCTGGTGTGCAAAGTATGTTAGAGGGCAGACGTGAGTCAGCTAAGCGGCTGGTGTGCAAAGTATGTTAGAGGGCAGACGTGAGTCAGCTAAGCGGCTGGTGTGCAAAGTATGTTAGAGGGCAGACGTGAGTCAGCTAAGCGGCTGGTGTGCAAAGTATGTTAGAGGGCAGACGTGAGTCAGCTAAGCGGCTGGTGTGCAGAGTATGTTAGAGGGCAGACGTGAGTCAGCTAAGCGGCTGGTGTGCAAAGTATGTTAGAGGGCAGACGTGAGTCAGCTAAGCGGCTGGTGTGCAAAGTATGTTAGAGGGCAGACGGCTGTCCCCAAACACGTGCGGAAGTGCAGATGGCAAAACCACCCCAAACACGTACCCAGCAGCAGCACACCTATCAATAGATAGCCTCTAGCACAAGACGTACCTGGCAGCGGTCTTTTGGATGGTGGGGCAGGTGTGGAAGTGTGCAAAGCGGTTCCACACGTCTTTGATCGAGGGATAGAGCGGGAAGGCGGCGGGGTTGGCGTCGGCAGGGGCCATGGAGCGCAGAGCAAACATGAACACTCTCTATGCCTCGCCCGACTTGAAGTTGCCCTGCGATGCCTAGAAGCCTGATTGGGGGGAAGGGTGGTATGGGGCGTGGAGAGAGGGGGGGGAGGGGGGGGGTGGAGTGAGGGGAAAGGGGGAGAGGAGGAGAGAAAGAGAGGAGTTGGGGAGGAAGAGGAGGAAGGAAGAGGAGGAAGGAAGAGAAGGATGGAAGAGGAGGATGGAAGAGAGGAAAAGAGGAGGTTTTTCTATACAGGAGCATGTACACACACACACACACACACACACACACTCTTCTTGGAGATAATGTCAATCTAAAGGTCAGGAGGAGCACACACCCATGCCCGCACCCAGGAGCAGCACGCACCGAGGAAGTGGAAGCGTCTGAGCCCCACGACTAGGCCCTCTTGAAGGAACTTGATGTAGGGCGTCATTCCCTGGTTGGAGTTCCTGGGTGCCGGGAAGTCACCTGTGTTTGGGATGCGTACACACATGAAAAGATACGCATTAACATGCACACAGACACACCATGCATGCATGCATGCACACCCTCAACACACCCACAAGGGTACAATATCACGCACCATTCACATTCAGTGAGGGCAGGCATGGTGTGGTGGTGAGGGAGGAGGGTGAGCGTGTGCACTGGAAAGAAAGGAGTGAGCATGGCATGTCATGTCATCACATGGTGTGACTTGATGTGATGGCAAGGCATAGCATGGCAGGCAGGCAAGTGAGATGAGACTGCACACAACCTTCTCAAAAAGGTTCCCTCCACCAAAATATGCTACATCATTATTCACTTAACAAGCACACCATACCCCTCGCAAGCTGACTCACTCTTAAGATCCTGTCTCGGCCTAATTGCCGGTGTGCCACTGTGTAGCCCGGTTCTGCACACGTGTCCTGCACAGGAAGGAGACGCGGGCTGGAGGCACGGTAGATGATTCGGGGAGGATGTTCGGAGAGCGAGTGCAGGGGAAAGGGTGTCACAGTCGAACAGAGAGGCAATGGATCATGGCGTGGTATATGGGACGTGGAAACTGGTATGTGGCGTTCGGACAGCAATGCACTCGGAAGCTATCAGAACAAGGACGACTCGGGCACGGCTGCCACAAATTGACACCACACACTGACACGCTGCTGTGGTGCTGCAGAAGTTACTGAGTGGTGTTACTGGGTGGATATGGACGGTATAATATAGACGAACTAACAATATACAGTATAAGTACATATCTGTACGTGCTCACTTATCTCACTTGCTGGATTTCAGGATCAAAGCCAATTTCAAAGCATTGGCTCGAACCAGATTTTGCTCCTCTTGGTCCTCCCCTCCAGATGCACTGTCTCCTTACATTATTCTCCTTCCGGACCCTTTTGTCCCAGCCTCTTTACCCTCACACTCCTCCGCTTGACTCGAACCGGGCTCTGCCCCTTGAATCGAAGCTAGGTCAAAAGCGTCAACTCGAACCAGCTTTCGCTCCTCTGAGTCCTCCCCTCCAGGTGCATTGTCTCCAGACGCTCTAGACGCTCGTGTCCTGGCCTCACTGCCCTCCACTTGAGAGAAACCCGCCTTTGCCTCCGGAAATTTCTTAGCTGGTCAGCCACTGATGCTCCTCTTGTGCCCTCATCCAGCCTGCATGTGCCAATACAGGTGGGAGGATGGGTGGGTGCTTCACAGCTTCATGGGCAAGGCAACTGGTTAATAGCCACAGGTTACACAAGTACAGTCACAAGCAGCCAGAGGGGACAGGTCTAACTGTATATTCCCCTCTGTCGAAACATTTCCAAACGGGTGCAGGTATCGGGTTTGTAGTAAAGAATTTCGACCACGCACCGGTCGAAGAAGTTTAGGGCAGAAGCAGCATCACCCGAAGCTGATTTCCTGTGCCACGGCCTGTGAGGCTCCTCTTGGTCATGCAGGCCCCTCCTTCTCCACACCAAGTGCTGCTGCTGCTGCCTGCCCTCTCCCCCCATCATCCGCAGCTGCCTCACTGTCTCTGCATTGCTCCTCCAGCTCCTCCCACCCTTGGTAAACCCAGAAACGTTTTGAGGCGCCTCAAAAGTTGCTGTCGCTGCTGCCCGCAGCTGCCTTGCTGTCTCTGCGCTGCTTCTCCAGCTCCTGCCATTCTGTTAGGCCCAGAGCTCTGCTGCTTGCTGCTGTGTGAACCTGAATCCGCCCCAGAGCATTTAACCAAACTTCTTGCTTGCATCCGCTGGGAAAGAGCCACAGGGCTCTGCTGCTCAGGGCCAAACAGGAAGGCCTGTGGAGAGATGATGCGGCTCCGCTGCTGATGCAGCTGCTCAGAGCTACCACGGAGGGACAGCTGTAAGGGCGAGTGGTCATTGGGTGATCGAGCGAGGAGCTGACGTGCGATTGGCAGTGTGGATTAGATTCAGGTCTTCAGCAGAGGAGGTTCTACGGTGGTGCCGCTGCTGCCACTGCTGATTCTGCTGCGCTCTCCCTCCTGCTTGTCTCAGGTCTTGGCTCGACGCAGTGAACTCGAAATTTGCCCTGTTGTTCCCAGGAGAGAGGTGGATAGGACTCAGGGAAGAGGAAGAGGAAGAGCCTACTCTTCGCCTGCTTTGTCCTGCCGCTTGTGCTGCTGCAATCGGTGCTGCATGCGGTGCTGCTGCTGATTGTGATGCCTTTGGGTTGCCTGCGAGGTTTCTTTCTTTGCTCCACTGCTGGCCCCTGTTGTACTTAGCAACAAGGGTGTTCACCGTCTGCTGAAGCGACAGCAGGCCCTTCTGCAAACCGGATACCACCGATTTGCTCAACGTTGTCACCGCTCTGAACCCCGTGTTAGTGCCCATGCTGCTCAGCGCCTTGATCCCTGCGTCAACCCGCGCGCCCCTGTCTAGAGCTTTCACAGCAGCGGGTGCTGCAGAGGGTAGAGATGACGTTGATGCTGAGAGAAGCGATGGTGGGGAAGAAACGAGGCAGAAGCTGATGCGGAAACATCAGCAGCAGTGGGACCAGCGGAGGGAGAGGCGGAGGGAGAAGCGGCAGGAGACGTAGGCAGAGACGCAGATGGACCGATGGGAATCTGAGAGCATCCGTCCACTGTCCTGCCCTTCTGTGCGAGCGCAATCACTGCAACGGCTCCTGCCATGCACCGTCCCTGTCATCAGCTGCGCCTTTGATGAGCTGGGAAAGTTTGGTGGTCTGGGTGACAGGTCTGGTGCCTCGGGTGATAGATTCTGCGGTCCAGGTAGCATCGGTGACCTGGGGGGCAAACGATTTGACGGGGAGCCGGTCAGGCGTGCCAAGTGGGGGTTGGTGGGAAACTGGAGAGGCTTGTTGTCTGGTGGGAGATGGTCGCTGGTGGGGGAGATGCAGCTGACTTAATTCCACTGCTCGCCTCTCCTGGAGGCTGGAATTTGCGACAAGGTGCGATGGTGGGAAATGCAGGCGACTGGGAACAAGGCGGTCTGAGTGTGGACTGAGGCGAGGGGCGGATTGAGATGGTGATATTGCGTGGGGGTTCGATGGAGAGAGGGGGTGTCGAGAACGAAGTGGGGACGGAGGGGTTTGAGCAGGGGAGTGGGGAAGGAGGTGAGAGGGAGAGATGTTGGAGGGGGAGCGAGGGGAGAGAGGGGGAAGCGAGAGGGGAAGAGCTTGGATGATGCATCATCCAATTATGCATCATCCAATCATGCATCATCCATTATGCATCATCCAATCATGCATCATCCGATCATGCATCATCCAATCATGCATCATCCGATCATGCATCATCCAATCATACATCATCCCATCATCATCCAATCATGCATCATCCAATCACGCATCATCCGATCACGCATCATCCGATCATGCATCATCCAATCATGCATCATTCCATCACGCATCATCCAATCATGCATCATCCCACCATGCATCATCCAATCATGCATCATTCCATCATGCATCATTCCATCATGCATCATTCATTCCATCATGCATCATTCCATCATGCATCAACCCATCATGCATCAACCCATCATGCATCGTCCAGTCATGCATCATTCCAAGCATGCATCGTCCTGGCAGCATGTCATTCCGTTCAAGTCGAGCTGCACTCCATTATGAACTCTTCGCGACATCCCTCTCATGCACAACACGCCATTCAGAGTCAATTCCTAAAAAAAACCCGTTCTTTTCAACCTTTCCTCTCAACCCTCACACTCATTTGCGCCCATCTGTTCCTCTCTCACGCCCATGATCTCCCACACCAGCTTCGCCAACACCCCCGGCTGTCATCGCAGCTTCGCACACCCCGGTCCTGTGTCGCGTCAGTCACGATCACTGGGCGTACATACAGCAGGCGGCAAGGCCGTATGGTGATTCAAATCGAATCATGTGATCGAGCGACGTTATGGCGCGACGGTGCCGAAGCAGTGATGTCGAGCTCGACCAGCTTTCAGGGGATCATCACCGTAAGGCCGTCTCGACGCGAAGCGACGGTGCGACGGCGAATTGAGTGGCGACGCTATGTGTGGGACGTGGCGATGGCGAATCGCATTGATGGCGAAGCTCTGTGCTACGGTGCGACGGCGGAATGGCGAAGCCTGGATCCTCCCGTGCGATGGTAGAGCGGATGGCGAAGCGCGTAGGGACTACCATCGGATGCAACGACGGGAAGTTGCGACGATGACACTGGAAGCACCAACAACACCGCTGGAGCGATGACTACTAACAGGGCAAAGCCGCGCCGCGGTGCACATGTCGTCGTGCCCCACCCACGGAGCAAAAGAGTCGTTCCGTCCTAATGAATCTAGAAGCTGCTGCATCCGGTTTTCGCGGCCTGCATTCCTACGTAAAGTAATCATCAAACTACTGTCTAGTTAGGGCGTGTGACATTTTCCTATCTTGCCCGTCCGGACAAGACATCGTCCGGACATTTGTAGGGTTACCCATGTCGTTAACTCTCGCAGGATTTATCGTTAGTACCCATGCGACGTCGCAAACGATCGGACTTCAGATGGAACTTTTTGCATAAATTGCCCTCTCAAATTGTCCGGACGCGTACCGTTCGTACAGTAACGCGATTTCACTGGCCGACGAATTCTTCTCCGCGTGTCGCTTGGAAGTTACCTATCTCGTGATGGCGTCGTTGTCCTGGTTACAGTCTCGTCAGTATTCTAATTTTCGTAAGTGTGAAAAAGTGTCATCACCTACGTCCGGACGAGGCTCAGTCTGGACGTTGGCCTAGGACCGTCCGATATTCGGTAATCGAACCGTTCTTGGACAGTCGTCTGGACTTTTACCTCTTTTAGAAAATGTCCCACGCCCTTACCGCTGAGTTGGAACAGAGCGCACGCTGTCCGACCCGTCCACTCTACTAGAGTACGGTGCAGAGCCTTTTGTTTATACTAAACAACGGTTACAAAGTGTTGATACATTTTGAATGATTTCGACAGTTACTTGTAAAACAGAGTAGCTGTGACTACTGGAGGGCTGGAAACTTGGCTGGAAAGTCTTAGCAGGGCTGCTGGAATTGACTGGATGAGGTAAAACTTCACTATGTTCAAGATTAACAAGCCCACTAAAGCACAACTCTAGGCATCACAAACAAGACAGATTGAAAGCTCAAACTAGGCTGATAGACAATGTAACTTCCCTGGTAACTTGGGCACAATCTAGATTGGATGGACCCTGAGTGACTTTGAGTGCCACATGAGGTGCATGAATAAGAAAACTCTGGATATTTCTGTTATAGCTGATTCTGATGTGTAGAAGCCTGTAGAAACTGCCAACACTTCGGTTTGAAGGCAGCTTTGAACTATATCGAGTCTTCGGCTGAAATCTGATTGGTGGTGGAACTTTCGAAGTACTTCCCGAAGCTCTGATTCATCGCCGACATTCCCCCTTGCTGCTGCTTGTGTGCAAAGGGCTGTGGCGGCAGAAACTCGATTCTCCAACACTCCCCCTCGCACCAGACC